AAAAAATAAATAAACGACTGAAGAAAAAGAATCAGAGAGGTGAGGAGAAAAATCAGGAGACAATGATGTCATAGACATAAAAAAGAAAAGTTCAAGAAGTTTTGAATACTGCAAAGAGGTCAAGTAGAATGAGGAAAGATCGGATTTGGTAATACTAAAGTTGTTGATGACATTGGCAAGAGTAGTCTCAGTTACATATGAAGTAATAAGGGCAGAAGCCAAAATGAAGTGGGTTGAAGAGTAAATGGGAGATGGGGAAGAATGGACAATGAGTATAGAAGAGCTTGAGAATTTTGCTCTGAAAATGAGCAAAGAAATGAGGTGATAGTTGAGGGTGAATTTAGTGTCAAGGGAAGGTTTCTAAATATAATATATTAGAGTATGCTTGTAGCAGTAGAATGATCCTGTGAAAAGTAAAAAAATCTAGTGTACAGCTGGGTACTTAAAGAGGTTTTTGTTTTTTTTTTAAGGTACTATTATTATTATTGGATCTTCAATCTCCCACCTCCAAAATCTTACCCAGCTATGTCTGGAAGCCTGAGCATATCTCATGTGAGATCATGAATAGTCCCTCTTCTACCATCTGTCATGCAGTACTCTCCTGCTAGACTCCCTTCAGTGAAATCTCCTGACTTCCCACTGCCTGTAGTATTATTTAATGATGTCTCTGCACTGCCACTGGCCCTGATGCCTATCATCTTGAGTATTCTGCTGTTCATTCCAAAGGGATTATCTCCTGATGCTCCCAAAGCTGATGGAAATCCTTTAGGTGCCAAAATAGTATAAACTTCTTCAAGTTCTCAGTGGGCAATATTTGGGGCAGAAGAGGTGCGAATGCCCTTCTCCCTCACTTTATATATCTGGGAACCAAGCAATGCCAATTGTGACTTATGGTCTCCCAGAGTAATTTCTAAAAATAGTCGTTCAGGGCAATCAGACAAGAGAACAAATTAAAGGGCATCCAAATTGGAAAAGAAGAAGTCAAATTATCATTGTTTGTAGATGATAGTATCTTATATTTGGAAAAATCTAAAGACTCCACAAGAAACTATTAGAACTGATAAACAAATTCAGAAAAATTGCAGGATACAAAACCAACATACAAAAATCAGTAGCATTTTTATATGCTTACAGTGAACAATCTGAAGAAGAAATTAAAAAGTAATCCCATTTACAGTAGCCACAAATAAAATTAAATACCTAGCAATTAACTTAAGGAAAAGATCTCTATAAGGAAAACTATAAATCGCTGATGAGAAAAATTGAAGAGGACATCAAAAAATGTTAATAGAGTGGAAGAATCAATGTTAAAATGTCCATACTACCCAAAGCAAGCTACAGATTTAATGCAATCCCTATCTAAATACCAATGACATTCTTCACAGAAATGAAAAAAAAAATCCTAAAATTTATATAGAACCACAGAGACCCAGAATAGCCAATCTTAGGATAAAGCAAAAAGAACAAAACTGGAGGAATCACATTATCTGACTTAAAATTATACCACAGAACCATAGTAATCAAAACAACACAGTACTGGCATAAAAACAGACACAATAGACCAATGGAACAGAATAGAGAACCCAGAAATAAATTCATACACTTACAGTGAACTCATTTTTGACAAAGTTGCCAAGAACATACATTGGTGAAAGGACAGTCTCTTAAATAAACGGTGCTGGGAAAATTGGACCCCTATCTGCAGAAGAATAAAACTAGACCCCTATCTCTCACCATATACAAAACTCAAATGAAAATGAATTAAAGACTTAAATCTAAGACCCCAAACTATGAAACTACTAAAAGAAAACTTGGGGAAACTCTCCAGGACATTGGTCTGAGCAAAGTATTTCTTGAGTAATACCCAAGAAGCACAGGCAACCAAAGCAAAAATGGACAAATGGGATCACATCACGTGAAAAAGCTTCTACACAACAAAGGGAACAATCAACAAAGTGAAGAGACAACCCAAAGAGTGGGAGAAAATATTTGCAAACTGTCCATCTGACAAGGGGATTAATAACTGGAATATATAAGGAGCTCAAACAACTCTACAGGAAAAAAATTTAATAATTCAATTAAAAATGGACAAAATAGTTGAATAGCCAGGTGCTCGGTGGCTCGTGACTGTAATCCCAGCACTTTGGGAGGCCATGGCGGGTGGATCATGAGGGCAGGAGTTCAAGATCAGCCTGGCCAAGATGGTGAAACCCTGTCTCTACTAAAAATACAAAAAAAAATTAGCCGGGCATCGTGGTGGGGGCCTAAAATCCCAGCTACTCAGGAAGATGAGGCAGAGAATTGCTTAAACCCGGGAGGCGGAGGATGCAGTGAGCCAAGATTGCGCCACTCTACTGCAGCCTGGGTGACAGAGTGAAACTCCACCTCAAAAAAAAAAAAAAAAGGTTGAATAAACATTTTTCAAGAGAAGACACACAGGCCAAGTGTGGTGGCTCATGCCTGTAATCCCAGCACTTTGGGAGGCCGAGGCAGGTGGATCGCCTGATGTCAGGAGTTCGAGACCAGCCTGGCCAAAATGGTGAAACCCCGTCTCTACTAAAAAAAAAGTTAGCGAGGCATGGTGGTGCGCACCTGTAATCCCAGCTATTCTGGAGGCTGAGGCAGGAGAATTGCTTGAACCTGGGAGGCGGAGGTTGCAATGAGCTGAGATCATGCCATTGCACTCCAGCCTGGGTAACAGAGTGAGACTCCATCTAAAAAAAAAAAAAAACATACAAACAGGCATAGGTGCTCAATATCACTGATCATCAGAGAAATGCAAATCAAAACTACAACGAGATATCATCTCACCTCAGTTAAAATGGCTTATATCTAAAAGACAGGCAATAACAAATGCTGGTGATGATGTAGAGAAAAGGGAATCCTTGTACATTGTTGGTGAGAATGTAAATTAGTGAAACCAAAATAGAGAACAGTTTGGAGGTTCCTCAAAAAACTAAAAATGGAACTATCACATGATCCAGATTTGGAAGCAACCTAAGTGTCCATCAACAGATGAATGGATAAAGAAAATGTGATACTTATACATAATGGACTACTATTCAGCCATTACAAGAATGAGATCCTGTCATTTGCAACAACAACATGGATGGAACCAAAGGTCATTATGTTAAGCAAAATAAGCCAGGCACAGAAAGATAAACATCACATGTTCTCACTTACAGGTGGGATCTAAAAATCAAAACAATTGAACTCATGGAGACAGAGAGTAGAAGCATGGTTACCAGAGGCTGGGAAGGGTAGAGGGGGTTGGAGGGAAGTGGGAATGGTTAATGGGTACAAAAAAATAGAAAGAATAAATAAGACCTAATATTTGATAGCACAACAGGGTGACTATTAGAGTCTATAATAATTTTGCTGTACATTTAAAAATAACTAAAATAATATAATTGGATTGTTTGTAACACAAAGGATAAATGCTTGAGGAAATGGATAACCCATCTTCCATGATGTGACTATTATGCATTGCATGCCTTATCAAAACATCTCATGTACTTCACAAATATACACACCTACTATGTACCCATCGAAATTAAAAATTAAAAGTTAAAAATAAAAATAGTCTATTCAGTTTCTAGTTGGAGTACTGGTCCCTAAGGGGCTCAAACTTAAGTTTATTAGCTGGGCCCATTCTTTAGGACTCCCATGCTACCTTCCCAATTGTTACATTCACCTAAAAACTACTTTTTAAAACAGGGTCTTGCTATGTTGCCCATGCAAGACTTAAACTCCTGGCTCAAGAGATCATCCTGCCTCAGCCTCCCAAGTAGCTGGGGTTACAGGCATGCAACCACAGCGCCTGGTGTCACCTTGCTATTTTTATGACCTCTTCCTCCAAACTTCATGCAAATCAATTCATGCAAATTCCTAGTTGCCCTAATACACTGATCTTTTAAGTCTAAGTACCAGAAATAGGGATATAGCTTAGACTAAAACTAGAAAACTACCTAGAGTCAGTGGTGTGCCAAGGATTGGGTGGTGGGAGTAGTCTACTCTGAATGAATGCATTAAGGAAGTAAACTAAGTGTAGAGAATTTGAAAGCAATAATTAAACTGACTAACGATAGATCTAGTTTTTACTATCACCATGCACCAGCAATTTTAAACTATATCAGTGATAAAATACCCTCTCCTCAAAATATTTTGTTGGTCTAAGTTCTAGAAAGTTGTGCAGTTACACTATGAGTTTTAACAATATATACTTGCTTCCAATTAGCACATTTTTAATTACTTGAACAATGTATTGTACATGGAAGTTTACTCAGAGTCAGCCTGTGACACAATTAGACTCAGCTGCACATTTGTTTTGAGTAAGTTCATAATGGTTCAGAATTGCTTGAGCTCACTGCAGATGCTGTTCTTGTCTCTAACCCCTGCATTTAAACAGTAAACTTGGTATAAATAATGATACTAGGTTGTAAAGATGAAGAAACATGAGTTACTTTAATTCTATCATTTTACATGACTACATGGAGTTATCTGTGTTTAATAGCTAAAATGTAAAACACAGAAACATTTGAAAGCCACTCAAATCAATCCTGAAGAAACAGACATAATTTTTAAACTTTATTGTGAGAGGGGATTGCTATGAATCTCTGCCACAAACGTTCTTTTTGTTTAAGATGTCCTATTTGTAGATAGGATTCTTCATTTGAAGAAAACTTTTCAAAATCAAACTTAGTAGAAAGTTCTTCGATCAACAGTAAATGAAGACAGATTGACAAATCTGGCTATACTGTCTATTGAATATGAATATGTGAAGATTAAGTGTGATGGAGTCATTGACAAATATATAAAAATTAAGGCTCAAAAGCAAAATGTCATTTGTTATTGCAACAGACTCATATGTAAGTTATGTAAGTATAAGTTTCTTTCACTTACTTTTTTTTTTTTTTGACACAGGATCTCACTCTGTTGCAGGTGCTGGAGTGCAAGTGGCATGATTTCGGCTAACTGCAATCTTAACTTCCCAGGCTCAGGGGATTCTCCCACTTCGTCCTCTGGAGTAACTGGGATTACAGGTGTGCGCCACTACGCCCGGCTAATTTTTGTATTTTTTATAGAGGCAGGGTTCCTCCATGTTGCCAAGGATGGTCTCCAACTCCTGGGCTCAAGGGATTCACCTGCCTCAGCCTCCCAAAATGCTCAGATTACAGGTGTGAGAGGTGTGAGCCACTGCACTCAGCCTTTCTTTCCCATTTAAAAACTAAATTAATTAAAAAGCATTAATTTGTTATTTTTTCATTTTTTTGTACTTTAATATTTATTTTTCTCTTTTGAACAAAAGGAGATTTCACTGTTTCTATTTATTTTCTGGCCATTGTGATTATTCATTTCATTTTCTGATTTTTATTACAGATAATCTTGTCATCTAGAGGAGAAATGTGTTAACAAAATGATCCAATCCTGGTGCCAAACATACTATGTATACCCTACTTATAGTAACAACAATTTAATATTTTTACAATGACATTTAAAGTGTTCTTATTTCCCAAACAATCTGTATCTGAATTCATGGGACTTATTTTTTATATTTCATTCTGAATCATTCACCAATTTTTGTATTTTACAAATAAGAATTATCTTTTCTCTCCCAAATACATTGTAAATTCCTCAAGGTCAGTTTATGTAATAGAAAATTAATAAATAAAAATGTAATAAATATTCCCACTGCATCTTAACTAAACCAAAAACTAAATTTGATTCTGAGAAAGAAAAAGGCTAACCACTGAAATATATTGATTCCAAATTTAGCTGTTCTTGTAGCAAGGCAACTTCATTTTTTTTTTTTTTTGAGACAGAGTTTTGCCCTGTCTCCCAGGCTGGAGTGCGGTGGCATGATCTCAGCCCACTGCAAGCTCCACCTCCCCAGCTCAAGGGATTCTCCTGCCTCAGCCTCCCAAATAGCCAGGACTACAGGCGTGCACAACCATGCCTGGCTGATTTTTGTATTTTTGGTAGCGACGGGGTTTCACCATCATCTTGACCTCTGGCCTCAAGTGAGCCTCCTGCCTCGGCCTCCAAGGGTGCTGAGATTACAGGCATAAGCCACCACTCATAGCCTAGGCAACTTCATTCTTAATTGAAAATAATTATTATAACAATGACATGTCTCCCTCTGTAGCATATGTCTCTGGCACCCACGTTACGTATTCACAGACCATCTCTGATTTCAGCCACATTTGTGTTAGTCCATTCCAGTTCACCTCACATTGCCATTTCCTCCTCCAGTAAGCCTGCATTCTGCCCTAGGGCCCTCTTCAGACATCATGGAAGTATACTCAGCCCATTTGGCAAACACAGCCCAGAGTGAGGGGAAGAGAGGGGAGGAAAAGAAGTTAGAGATTTCAGGTGACAGTAAGAATAGTTCTCTATGAGAGTGGTGGACTAATATAATACAATTTCTGAAAAGCATTAATGACCCACTTGAGACTAGCGGTGATAAATTTAAAGTGAGAGTGGCAGTATTGTTATGTTCCTCTCCAGTCACATTTAGCTATATGAGAATAATGGTAGAGAGTGTAATTTAACAAGTCTTGCCAAAGTGAGAGGAAAGCAAGGCAGGTTGTGTGGAGGGGAGTAATTATAATCATTAACCATGGAGTTTAAAGTAGGTAAGAATGGTGTGAGGTCACAAGTGGGATGAAGCATAAGTAAAAGGTCATAGGAGCAATAAGGTCTAAGTCTCAGGTGACTTTGAGAATTATTAAAGTCAGGAGCTTAAAGGGAGTGAATGGAAAGACAGGAGATGATGGTTAGAGACTGATACGCATGAAATTGATTAGGGAAATTAGGGAAAGATTATAGTTTATAGGTAAGACAAGATCTAGGATGTTAATATAGTAGTGAGTAGCAGAGGTAGGTGGGAAAAGGGGTCAGGTAATGAAAACGTGCATAGCCTAATGGAGGTTATATCTGGGGTAAGAGGTGACCTGTGAACTGGCTTTTTGTAGTGATCAATATAACAGAGATAAATGGCATGACAAGATTACTTCTGAAGGTCCCAAAGAAGATTTTGATAGTAAAGTAGTAATTAGTGCAAGAGAAAGTCTTGCTAAGCTGAGTTTTGGGCCACCCCTTGACTTCTAGTGGAGGCACTGACATATAACAAAACAGCATTTATTGAATGCTAAGGTGCTATACTCAGAATAAGTATAAGAAAATCTTGTTGTCAACTTATTGAGATCTGGCTTCAATTTCTATCCCTGTCCTAGAAAGGCCAGAGAACCAGATTGGGTCTTCTTGAGAGGGACAAGGCAGATGGGTGGACTGCCAGAAACTAAGGCTGGATTTTTATTTTTTATTTTTTTTAACTAAAGAAGATTTTTTTAAACAATGTTGGGTGGAGTTGTAATTAATTTGCTAGAATAGGCATTGAGAACAGAGAAATACCCAGGGAACTTAAAAGAGGGAGTCTACAAAAAAGCCCACAAAAGTGCTCTATTAAAGTTAGAGCCACTGATTGTGCAACTGCCACAAAGAGCACCCTGGAGGCAGATTATAACTGCATCAGCCAAGCGAGATTTTTCTGCCCCTTACCTCTCCTCCCTCTCCCTTGTTCTAATCCAAAATTCAGTCTTGTGAATGGGGGAGTAGGAGTGGAAGCACAAAGTGGTGAAGTAAAAAAGAAGTCAATTATGTCACTCTCCCCAACTAAGGCTGTTACATCAAAAGCAGGCCAAACTGTGTACAGGATAAGTTTAAATTGTATGAGAGTTTGAAGTAGAGTTTGGACTAGACTTTTTTTATTTTAAAAAAGAGACTTCATTTGATTAACTAGTAGGTTTTTTGTTTTTGTTTTTTAATAACTAACAGTGACCAGCAAAGCTACAGAGCTTTCCTGAGATGTCATCCAGGGATGGAGACAAAAAAGTTGAGAGAGTAGGCTTGAAGAAATCAGTGGGAAAGAACAAAATTACTTTGTGCTAGTACTGTACCAGGTCCAGCTTGTTCAATGAAAAGGTTACAATTATAAGGAGAAAAATGGTAAGTGTCACAGCAAAAGAAGAAGAAAAGTTCTAGCAGGGTTGAATGAAATAAAGAATCTAAGAAGTAAACTGGAAAAAGCACTATTTGAGCAGGACCTGAAAGTAACATTGCTTATTTCGGAAGAGGGAAATGGAGTGGGAGAGTGGATAGAATTTAAAGGAGAGAAGGGAAGACTACTAACTTACAAGATTTGTAGGTTTGGGTTCCCTAGAAAACAAATCCTGAGGCAAAGCTGAATTGTTTTTGTAAGAGTGAGGGAAAAAGGCAATTGACACAGCAAAAAATTGGGAGCAAATTTAATATGGTTCATTACTAAACTGGCCATTACTTCTCAAAGTTACATAACCAGAAACTTACCTATGCAGTACATCTCTGGGCAGGTTATAAAGAAACACCACGTGGAGGTGGCTGGTAAGATGGCCAAATAGGAACAGCTCCGGTCTGCAGCTCCCAGTGAGATCAAAACAGAAGGAAGGTGATTTCTGCACTTCCAACTGAGGTACCTGGCTCATTTCACTGGGACTGGTTAGACAGTGGGTGCAGCCCCATGGAGGGCAAGCCAAAGCAGGGTGGGGCACTGCCTCACCCGGAAAGCGCAAGTTGTCGGGGAACTCCTCCCCTAGCCAAGGGAAGCCGTGAGGGATTGTGCACTTTGGCCCCAATACTACACTTTTTTCACGGTCTTCGCAGCCCGCAGATCAGAACATTCCCTCAGGTGCCTACACCACCAGGACCCTGGGTTTCAAGCACAAAACTGGGCGGCCATTTGGGCAGACTCCGAGCTAGCTGCAGGAGTCTTTTTTTCACACTCCAGTGTCCCCTGGAACCCCAGCGAGATAGAACCATTCACACCACTGGAAAGGGGGCTGAAGCCAGGGAACCCAGTTGTCTAGTTCAGTGGATCCCATCCCTACAGAGCCCTGCAAGCTAAGATCCACTGGCTTGAAATTCTCGCTGCCACTACAGCAGTCTGAAGTTGACCTGGGACGCTTGAGCTTGGTGGGGGGAGGGGCGTCCACCATTCCTGAGGATTGAGTAGGTGATTTTCCCCTCACAGTGTAAACAAAGCCACTGGGAAGTTTGAACTGGGCAGAGCCCACTGCAGCTCAGCAAAGTTGCTGTAGCCTGACTGCCTCTCTAGATTCCTCCTTTCTGGGCAGGGCATCTCTGAAAAAAAGGCAGCAGCCCCAGTCAGGGGCTTATAGATAAAACTCCTATCTCCCTGGAACAGAGCACCTAAGGGAAGGGGTGGCTGTGGGTGCAGCTTCAGCAGACCTAAACGTTCCTGCCTACTGGCACTGAAGAGAGCAGCAAGTATCCCAGCACAGCGCTCGAGCTTTGCCAAGGGTCAGACTGCCTCCTCAAGTGGGTCCCTGACCCCGGCGCCTCCTGACTGAGAGACACCATCCAGCAGGGGTGGACAGACACCTCATACAGGAGAGCTCTGGCTGGCATCTGGCAGGTGCCCCTCTGTGACGAAGCTTCCAGAGGAAGGAACAGGCAGCAATCTTTGCTGTTCTGGAGCCTCTGCTGATACCCAGGGAAACAGGGTCTGGGGTGGACCTCCAGCAAACTGCAACAGACCTGCAGCAGAGGGGCCTGACTGTTAGAAGGAAAACTGTGGAAAACAAACAGAAAGGAATCGCATCAACATCAACAAAAAGGACGTCCACACAAAAACCCCATCTGAAAGTCACCAACATCAAAGACCAAAGGTAGATAAATCCACGAAGATGAGGAAAAGCCAGCGCAAAAAGCCTGAAAATTCCAAAAACCAGAATGTCTCTTCTCCTCCAAAGGATCACAACTCCTCGCCAGTAAGGGAACAAAATTGGACAGAGCATGAGTTTGACAAATTGACAGAAGTAGGCTTCAGAAGGTGGGAAATAACAAACTCCTCTGAGCTAAAGGAGCACGTTCTAACCCAAGGCAAGGAAGCTAAGAACCTTGAAAAAAGGTTAGAGGAATTGCTAACTAGAATAACCAGTTTAGAGAAGAACGTAAATGACTTGATAGAGCTGTAAAACAGCATGAGAACTTTGTGAAGCATATGTAAGTATCAATAACCGAATCAGTCAAGCAGAAGAAAGAATATCAGAGATTGAAGATCAACTTAATGAAATAAAGTGTGAAGACAAGATTAGAGAAAAAAGAATGAAAATAAATGAACAAACCTCCAAGAAATATGGGACTATGTGAAAAGACCAAACCTACGTTTGATTGGTGTACCTGAAAGTGACGAGGAGAACGGAACCAAGTTGGAAAACACTCTTCAGAATATTATCCAGGAGAACTTCCCTAGCCTAGCAAGACAGGCCAACATTCAAATACAGGAAATAGAGAGAACACCACAAAGATACTCCTTGAGAAGAGCAACCCCAAGACACATAATCATCAGATTCACCAAGGTTGAAACGAAGGAAAAAATGTTAAATTAAGGGCAGCCACAGAGAAAGGTTGGGCTACCCACAAAGGGAAGCCCATCAGACTAACATTGGATCTCTCTGCAGAAACCCTATAAGCCAGAGATAGTAGGGGGCAATATTCAACATTCTTAAAGAAAATAATTTTCAACCCAAAATTTCATATCCAGTCAAATTAAGCTTCATAAGCAAAGGATAAATAAAATCCTTTACAAACAAGCAAATGCTGAGAGATTTTATCACCACCAGGCCTGCCTTACAAGAGCTCCTGAAGGAAGCACTAAATATGGAAAGGCAAAATCGGTATCAACTACTGCAAAAACATACCAAATTGTAAAGACCATCGACACTATGAAGAAACTGCATCAACTAACGGGCAAAATAACTAGCTAGCATCATAATGACAGGATCAGATTCACACATAACAATATTAACCTTAAATGTAAACAGGCTAAATGCCCCAATTAAAAAACACAGACTGGCAAGTTGGATACAAAGTCAAGACCTATCAGTGTGCTGTATTCAGAAGACCCATCTCACGTGCAAGGACACACATAGGCTCAAAATAAAGAGATGGAGGGATATTTACAAAGCAAATGGAAAGCAAAAAAAAAGCAGAGGTTGCAGTCCTAGTCTCTGATAAAACAGACTTTAAAGCAATAAAGATCAAAAAAGACAAAGAAGGGCATTACATAATGGTAAAGGGATCAATGCAACAAGAAGAGCTAACTATCCTAAATATATATGCACCCAATACAGGAGCATCCAGATTCATAAAGCAAGTTCTTAGAGACCTACAAAGAGACTTAGACTCCCACACAATAACAGTGGGAGACTTTTAACACCCCACTGTCAATATTAGACAGATCAACGAGACAGAAAATTAACAAGGATATTCAGGACTTGAACTCAGCTCTGGACCAGGTGGACCTAATAGACATCTACAGAACTCTCCACTCCAAATCAACAGAATATTCTTCTCAGCACCACAGGGCACTTATTCTAAAATTGACCACATAATTGGAAGTAAAACACTCCTCAGAAAATGCAAAAGAACAGAAATCATAACAAACAGTCTCTCAGACCACAGTGCAATCAAATTAGAACTCAGGATTAAGAAACTCACTCAAAACTGCACGACTACATGGAAACTGAATAAACCTGCTCCTGAATGACTACTGGGTAAATAACGAAATTAAAGCAGAAATAAATAAGTTCTTTGAAACCAATGAGAACAAAGATACAACATACCAGAATCTCTGGGACACAGCTAAAGCAGTGTCTAGAGGGAAATGTATAGCACTAAATGCCCACAGGAGAAAGCAGGAAATATCTAAAATCGAGACCCTAACATCACAATTAAAAGAACTAGAGAAGCAAGAGCAAACAAATTCAAAAGCTAGCAGAAGACAAAAATAACTGAGATCAGAGCAGAACTGAGGGAGATAGAGACACGAAAAACCCTTCAAAAAATCAATGAATCCAGGAGATAATTTTTTGAAAAGATTAGCAAAATAGCTAGACCACTAGCCAGACTAATAAAGAAGAAAAAAGAGAAGCATCAAATAGACACACTAGGGCAAAGCAAGCAGCTGATGGTCAGGAAGAATAGTGAAGAATTTGAGGCAATTCATAAAGTGTCAGGTATACTCCCAAATCTACATCCATGGTCCAGATATTAGCACTGGATAGGCCACAGGTATCTCAATCTCAACATCTCCCAAAATACTTTTAACCTTTTTTATTATGATGTATTACATACTGACAGAAAAGTAACAAAAAATTCACAGAGGGGGAGGAGATATTTGTAATATATAAAACTTAAAAAAGAACCATTCTAGAAGAATATATAAAAAGCTCCTTCAAATCAATAAAAAGTAAACAACCTAGTAGGAAAAAAGAGGCAAAAACTTAACATATATTTCACAAAAAGAGAAATCCAGATGCCCAACAGATATATGAGAACAGCTCTACTTAATTAGTAATATGAATTCACTTTAAATCACTATAATTCATCTTGTAGATAGGCTATAGTAGGAAAACAGACAAATATTCTGCTTCAACAACTAGAAAAAAAGATAAAGCTGGGCACAGTGGCTCACGCCTATAATCCCAGCACTCTGGGAGGCCAAGGCAGGTGGATCACTTGAGGCCAGGAGTTCAAGACCAGTCTGGTCAACATGGTAAAACTCTGTCTTTACTAAAAATACAAAAATTAGCCAGGCATAGTGGCATGCCCCTGTAATCCCAGCTACTCAGGAGGCTGCAGTGGGAGAACTGCTTGACCTCAGGAGGTGGAGGTTGCAATGAGCCGAGATTGTGCCACTGCCCTTCAGCCTGAGCGATACAGTGAGACTGTCTGAAAAAAAAAAAAGAAAGAAAGAAAGAAAAGAAAAAGAAAGAAAGATCACAAAAAACATTTTTCAATACATCAGTGTTCATTCACTTAGATGAATTAAAATTTCAGCAGGAAGAGTTTTTTTTTCTAGATAAGCTGGCAATAACTACTTTCTTTTCTCATACTATCTTGTTCTAGGCACAGACTGAGGAATTGGGCTTGGCCTAATAAGAAGGACTCTCCTGGGGGAAGGAAACAGAAGAGAATTTGACAACTACACGGGCTGGCATAATGGATTGGAATTTAAAGGTTCCACAAATGTGCCACCAGTTTATCACATGGGACATTTTCTCACAGAGTGAAGCAGGAAGCTGGTGGGCCTGGGTCAGGAAGGCAGAGTGAAATTTCATGACGCTTAGAAAACAAAGATCCTTGCTAAAATAAAGTGAATGGTCCTGCAACAAATACACAACAGGTCTCCCTTCTTAAGAAATCTGCCAGATTGTAAAACTGCATGGGGAGAGAAGCACGAAAGAATTAAGTTTAAAACTCCAAAGCACAGAAAAAGGCTGAGGAGACAGGGACTCACAAGGCTTTCAATCAGAAGCCTGAAATGGTCACACTTGAGCATGGTGCTGGCTGGAAACGCAGAGTAAAATGTCTTCTGATTTCATGGTGTTCAAATCTCTGAAGGACAGATGAATCTCCATTGGTATTTCAGGTTTTCCCTACCGTAGGCAAGTACTTCCGACCTACCAATCTTTCAACCAAAAGCTCAGAAGGGTCACCTCTAAGGAACAGGGATAAATCAGAGGTGGACTAAGTTTCATTAAAACTATACCTCAGCTCCAACCTAGCTCAATTCCAGATTGGATGTGGTGATTTTCACCTTACCACATCTAGTTAGCAAGGAAAAGTTTGCACCATCTCTGGGGGAAAATAATATCACCTGTACTTTCTACTCTATACAATGTATGCATATAGTTAAAATTATAATGCATATAGGAGGAAGAAAAAGGACTTCAATAATCAAGATAAAAAACAAACAGAGCCAAATCCACCCATGATCTATATGGTGGAATTAGCAGACAAAGATTTTAATTTTAATTTTTTTTTTTTTAAGAGATGGGGTTTCGCCATGTTGGTCAGGCTGGTCTCGAACTCCTGGCCCCAAGTGACCAGCCTGCCTTGGCCTCCCAAAGCGTTGTGATTTACAGGAGTGAGCCACCGTTCCTGGCCCCAAGAAATTAAAAATCACTATTACAAATTTAAAAAAATAATAATCGAAGAAGAGATTTAAAATAGGTGAAAAAGTAGAGTGAAAATATTGAGTGAATTAAAATTTATTTAAAAGAATCAACAATCCAGAAATGAAACAATAAACTAATCAAATGGGTTTAAGGACATATTAGAAAGACTAGTGAACACAAAGACAGGTCCAGTAAAAATATTCAAACTGAAGCATAGAAAGAAAAAAGAATGAGAAAAACAACAGTAATAAAAGACATGCAGGACAGAGACAAATGATCTAACATATATATAATTGGAATTTTGAATAGAGAAGAGAAGGAGAATGGGGCTGAAGCAATATTTAAAGAAATAATGGCCAAGGATTTTCTGAAATTGATTTAATATATATATCAGGCCAGGTGCAGAGGCTCACACATATAATCCCAGAACTTTTGGAGGCCAGTGCGGGTGGATTGCTTGAACTCTGGAGTTTGAGACCAGCCTTGGCAACATGGTGAAACCCCACTTCTACTAAAAAGCAACAACAACAAAAAATTAGCTGGGTGTGGTGGTGTGCGCCTGTGGTCCCAGATACTTGCAAGGCTGAGGTGGGAGGATTATCTGAGCCCAGGAAGTTGAGGCTGCAGTGAGCCATGATTGCACCACTACACCCGACTTGGACAACAGAGTGAGACCCTGTCTCAAAAAATACATGTATATTAAATAAAATACATATTCAAGAGGTTCAGGATAAATGCAAAGATTACCATGCCCAGATACAATTTGGTAAAACTTCTGAAAATCAGAGATAAAAAACTAAAATCTTAAAATCAGCTAGAAAAAAAGGAAGCATTATCTTTAAAAGAGCAACAATAAGATTTCCAACTGACTTTTCAGCAGAAGCAACAGAGAGTATTGAATGACATCATTTGTTTGCTAAAAGAAAAAAATTCCCAACCTAGAATTCTATACCAAGAAAAAATTTTCTTCAGAATAAAGTGAGATAGGTTGGGCACGGTGGCTCATGACTGTAATCCCAGCACTTTGGGAAGCCGAGGCAGGTGGATCACGTGAGGCCAGGAGTTCAAGACCAGCCTGGCCAACATGGTGCAACCCTGTCTTCACTAAAAATACAAAAATTAGGCCGGGCGCGGTGGCTCACGCCTGTAATCCCAATACTTTGGGAGGCCGAGACGGGCGGATCATGAGGTCAGGAGATTGAGACCATCCTGGCTAACACAGTGAAACCCTGTCTCTACTAAAAAAATACAAAAAACTAGCTGGGCGAGGTGGTGGGCGCCTGTAGTCCCGGCTACTAGGGAGGCTGAGACAGGAGAATGGCGTAAACCTGGGAGACGGAGCTTGCAGTGAGCTGAGATCCGGCCACTGCACTCCAGCCTGGGCAACAGAGCGGACTCCATCTCAAAAAAAAAAAAAAAAAAATAGTTGAGATGAATCATGAATCTAAATGTGAAGACAAAACAATAAAGTTTATGGAGGAAAAACATAGAAGAATATCTCTATGACCTTGTTGTAGACAAAGATTTAATCAGGATACAAAGAAACACTAACTGTAAAATAAAAATTAATAAATTGAGCTTCATTAAGAGCTTTAATTCATCAAAAACACCAGTAAGAAGGCCAAGGTGGGTGGATCACCTGAAGTCAGGAGTTCGAGACTAGCCTGGCCAACATTGTGAAACCCCACCTCTACTAAAAATACAAAAAATTAGCTGGGTGTGGTGGCAGATACCTGTAATCCCAGCTACTCAGGAGGCTGAGGCAGGAGAATTGCTTGAACCCAGGAGGCAGAGGTTGCAGTGAGCCAAGATTGTGCCACCGCACTCCACCCTGGGCAATAAGAGCGAAACTTCATCTAAAGCAAACAGACAAACAAACAAAAAACCAGCAGTAAGAGAGTGAAAAGGAAGGCAACAATGCAGAGAAGATATTCACAATACATACATATAGCCTTTGTATGTATCCCGAGTTTATACAGAATTCCCACAAATAAGATTTAAAAAAACATTTTTTAAACATTAAAATGGACAAAAGAATTGAACAGGTCCTCCTAACAGAAGATATTCAAGTGGCCAGTAAGTATCCACATCATTATCATCAGGGAAATGCAACTTACAACTACAATGAGATATCACACCCCACCAGAATAACTAGTAGTGAAAAAATTAAGAATACCAGGTATTGAAGAAAATGTAGATCAATTACAAGTCATACATTGATGATGAAAGTATAAATTGGTACAATCATTTTAGAAAACTTTTTGGCAGTATCTACTAAGCCCAGAAATCCAATTCACCCCAAAAGAACCCACTCTAAAGAACTGAATGCATATATGAATTCAAACAACATACTAACATATGCAAAGAACATTTATAGTATTTTTATTTTATTGTAGCAAACAAACGAAAACAATCCAAACGTCAGTGAGTAGTAGAATGTACAAACTGGCAAAACCGTACTAGAGACTACCCAGCAATAAGAAAAAAACACCTACTACTGCAATATATTGGCATGAATGAATCTCATGAATATTGTGTTGAGTGAAAGAATAATTTTTTTTTAAGTTTAGAAAGAGTATGAGAGAAGGCAAAAATTAATGCATGGTAATATAAGTTAGAATAATGGTTGTCTGGATGAAGGATAGTTACAGATAAGAAAGAGGCATGAGAGAATTTGGAGTGCTAGAAATGTTCAATATTTTAATCTGAGTGGTAGTTACAGAGGTGTTTACATATTTCCATTCATAGAGTTTTAGACTTAACACACTTTGCTGTATGTATATCTCATATCACCTCAGAAAATGGTAGTATTGGCTACTACAAAACTGTCTAACAACGTGTCATATTCAGAATAAAATTTTAAATCATAGGATTTTATTGAAAACACTTCTTGACCTGGACTTTGCCTTTCCAGAAATATTTCTGCACTCTAACAATAAGCTCTGTTTACGGGCTATACCAAAGTATTTAGTGTTTTTTAATAATATACCACACACTCTTTAACCTCTTTGCCTTTGCATATGTGTTCTTTGCTTGGGATATACTTACCACCCTATTATTTTACCCTAAATGTTCCCTAGTAATTTCTACAAAATTTTGCATCTTAATTCAGTCATTGCCTTATCCAGATAACCTTCCCAAGCCATCTCAGGTGTAATTAAGCACATCTTTGCTTTGTTCTTTTAGCACCCTATTATAGCATTTTCAAACTGTATTAAAAGCTTTTCTTATTTTTCTGATTCTCACTAGATTACAAAGTCCTTGAGAATAGGCATTTTTGTTTTGTTTTTAAAATATTATTAACACATAGCATAGGATCTGACATAAAGTAGGTACAATAAGAGTTTTTCTAAGTGTCGGAACAAGAAAACAATTAGGGAAAATCCTAGTTGGTTCCATATTGAGTTTCTCCTACATGTTCAGTAGTAGATTGGGGCTTTTCTATGCTCCACAGGCTCAGAAGACACAACCCCATTATTATGGATTTGAATATTGCAAAGATGGTACTAAATTTACTTTCTTTGGTTACAGGAAGACATTCAAACAGAAAATTGTTAGTAATCCCAGAAACCATTTTATCAGCCAAGTGACCTAAATACTGGATAGAAAATTCTGTCCACGGCAGGCCCAACAATCGGTAGATCTACTCTCTTTCCTTAAGAGTAGCCATGAGAACAAGGAAAACTGGGGCAAATTAAGCTAACACAGCTTGTTCATATGCTCATCCATCAGGAATACAATGGCATTAAACATTAGAAAATATAGAAATTGCTGTCTTCATAGCACTTTTAAAGCTCATTTATCATAGTTAAAATTTGGAAAAGAACCATCTTCATTTAACAATTATCAAAAATATATGTTCCTAAAATATCACCACAACAGTTATACAGGATTATCTTTTATACTGAAATGATGGATATTTAACTGGCAAATAAATATGTACCTAAAATTCAGCCTAGTTGTGTTACTATAGGTCAATACACTTTTTTCCTTTAAACCAACAGATGTTTTCGGTAACACACCAAAACTACTAGAAATCATGTTTGGTCTTTACATTTTTAAAGTAACTTTTAAATGGAAAACATTAACTTAGCAAAGGTATAGTCAAATGTGTTTTTAAGACATGATTATCACATGTATTGCATTGTAAACCACTTTTTAAAAACTAGAAACAGCTAAAATTCTCAAAGGACACAAATTGGCTGCTAGTTAATCTCTCAGAATTCAATGTTAAAATCTATTGTAGTTGCTTACTTTGTGGTAATTTATATTTGAGATTGCCTTATCCATTACATTCCTCTTGATTTTGATAGTGATCTAATATAAATGTGTTAGCCAGATGATCTCTAGAATATGTTATAGAGTCTGGCATAGATTAGTCTAAACAACTTATGATGTTTTGATAGCAGGAAATTCTATTG